GCATTACACTAGTCCAGCATTTGTCTTGGATGTGTGAACTACCACGCAGGCTACCCAGTTTCTGTTACTGCTGTAAAGGTGACTTGCTCACTGTATTTCAGTGCCTGTGGGAAGTTTCAGCAAGTTGGGTACCTAGGGGAGCAGCAGAGTTACGGGGACGCTGCGATTTCCAGGCAAAAGGTGGCTCCTTTTTACTGGGTTATTCGCTTGCCCCCAGGGCAAGCGGACGTGCAGCTCTGCGGCCAGGACTTCGCCATGGGATTTGGGGAACGCTTACAGCCCAAGTGAGAGGGGGCTGTCCTGGCCATTTGGGTAAAGGGCTCTCAGAAACCTCCTAGGGGTCATACCTCTACCCAGGAACGCTGTCGTTTCATGGGTATTCCAATTTGGAAAAATTAATATATTGCATTGTAATATCTTAACTTCATACATCATGAGAAAAAGGATTACTACAGACAACTCAGTCTGTTAAATGTGGCTGGCTGATGGTATCTTCTGGCTCTGAAGTTGTGGGGGCAAAGAGGAGGTGGTGTGTTTGTGGGAAAGACAAATTTTTAGTCTTTTAATTTTCCAGTCTGTGCATCTGTATAAAAAGTTTAAGTGACTTTCTTTTGCGTATTTTTTGTTTCCCTGTTTTAAAGATCTTTGGTTGTGTGATACAATGCTTCAGTAACTGCTCTGTGATAACATACTCTGTTTTCTTAGAAGGATATGTTGTTGTAACTCAGGGGATTGTGTAATTTTGAGAGCTTCACGGCGGGGGGTTGATCTCTTAAATTGAAATGGACTATTTAGTCATGTGTTACTTAATCTACTAAAGTTGAATATTAATTAGCATAATTTGAGCTTCTTCCCTCCTGACTGGTAGTTAGGGAAAAGTGTCTGTATGATGTATGAGACAACAGAAGGACATATACTACCCATTAAAAATGTGAAACTGTAAAATTTGTGTTCTAAAATTTGTTTAGTAGGTACTGAAAATATCAAGGGTGTTTTTTCTGTTTAAGACTAGAATTGTCTTTAAAATATACTAGCATAGAATTTATTATTAAAAAACACGTTTTTAAAATAAAAAAGCCTTAGTGGGTGAACTGCATAGTTAAAGGAACAGCATAAATAAGAGCCATATACGCATATACATTATGCTTTCAAAAGAGAAGCACGTGCCACAGGAATGAAAGCCTGTTTGTATTTTGTGCTCGCCAAGCTGCGCAGTGCAGGCTTGGGTCGTGCTCGTCCATTGAGCTCACCATGCTGGGAGCGGGTCTGCTGCTGACGCCTCTGCTCACTCCATGGTGGAGCCATGGTGGGCTGCGCGGTGGGTGACGGGGCTGTGGGCACTGCAGCGGCACCGCGGCGGCCAGAGCTGCAGCCGGCCAGCTGGGGAAGGATGACATCACCTCCAGGAACATGTGATGCAGCCAGCTGGCGTGGAGGTTGCTGAGCTGTGTAGGGAGAGATTGGTGCAGATATTTATGGCATTTCATTTGAGTGCAGTAAATGCCTTTTAATTTTTTTTTTAATTTAAATGAAATCCTCAATCGCAAATGTTTTGTGGTGTAGAGGCTTTAAAAAAAGGGGGAGGGGGCCACACCAAGCCCTTAAGACCTGCTTATATTGCTGTTTTTTTGTTTTATTATTGCTCTGTTGGAGATAAAAATATGATACTTTCTTGCTGTATTCACCTTCTTTGTGCCCCAACATTCTTTGGTCAATTGTAATCCTCACAGTCTTTTCAGTTAAGCTTTAACACTGCAGAACTGGAATAAAAATAGGCTGTTTAGAGCAGCAAAAGGCAGTGAGCCTTAAGGATATGTAGATCGAGAACATGAGCCAAGCACTAACGTATTTGTAGAGTGTTTACCTTGAGCAGTCCCTTAATAGTCAAAGAAATGTTAGCTAAATGTTTCTTACTTCTTACATGCCACAGGCAAAGTAAAAATGTGCAGCTACTGCACATCATCTGAGGTGAAGTAGTTTAAGGGCTTAGAAGTCTCAGCAAGCAAGTTGTGGTAACATCAGTGTCTTGGGTAATTTTGAGCTAAGATAGACAGCAAAGTACAGCACTAGTTTCTGCATGCTTTTTAAGTGAGGAGAAAGTGTTTTCTATCTCTAAATTTACTGTAAAGAAAAGGAATCACCATGGTTGATGTGAAAGCTGAGCGTGCTAAATTGGCATTAAATTTATGGTGGGTAGCTCAAAGCACGTTAAAAAAAAAAAACAACCAAAACCACCAACTCTGGAAGTGTGCCTGTATGCCTTAACAGTCAACTGAAAGCCAAATATTTTGAAGTGGAAAAAGATAGGTATTTGCTGTCTTTTTAGATCAGTTATTTAAACATAAGGTTTTCTTAAACTCTTGTTTAAAGCTTTAGTCCCTAATAATTGAAAACTTAGTATCATGTTGTATTTTTATCATATTTTTATCTCCAGCAGAACAATAATAAAACAAGAAAACTGTAGGCATTTGTAGTAAAAGGCTGGTAACCCCTAGCCAGTACTCTGGAGGAAGGAATAATGCAAGAGGTTCCTTTGGAGCCGTCTTAGACCCCTGAGTGTCTAAGCACAAACATGAAAGAAGTAGCCGAGTCCCTCCACTGCTTGATCAGTCTGGAGTTGCTGTGTAGTTGCAAAATATTGTCCATCATGTAGAAACCCTCCATGCGGCATGGCTGCCTGAGGAACCAGTTTTCCTGGTCTAGCCTTTCTGAGAATGTGTATCGAATTTTGGGTTTGCTTTTGGTTTATGGCGTTCATGGAAAACCAGGGAACTAGCCAACGTCTGGAAGAGGATTTGTTTAGTTTTCTTTTGTTTGTAATCTGTGGGTGCTGAGACAATGTCCTGGTTGAACACCTCAGTGAACCAGAGGGACCCATTGCTGTCAGACATTTGTCTAAAAGCATTTTTTTAAAAATTCCCAGTGGTGGATAGTCCCTAGTCTTCCACAGGCAATCCCACGTGCTGCTTCACTGTTTTTGCCTTTACAAAACTTCCTACCACCCAAAGTAAACCTCTTGCTGTAATTCTAGCCAACTTTTGCCACCACTAGACTTTATGTGTTTTGAGGACTGCTACCATGTCTCCCTTCAGTTCTTTGGACTAAACAGTGTCATTTGATTTAGTCCTTCCTCATAGCTCATGTTTTTGCCCTTTGGGTATTCTGTTTGGTGTGTCCTGGGTCTGTTTTGAAGGGTAGTGCCAATAACTAGATACTGTAGTGGCACAGAAGTCTCAGTATTGCTGGCTGGAATAGAAAATCTGTGACGTAATTTACATACATGATGCTCTTATTTACAAATCTTATGTTACTTGATGACACCAGTATGATGTCACAGTTTTAGCTCTGAAGTGCACAGCTCTTTTGTTAAAGCTCAGAGCCTGAGACCAGAGGATATGAAACATTTGGATATTTTTGAGGAGGAAGAGAAATGATGGCCTTCCCTGCTGGCCATCAGCGCCAGCGTCTGATGCTGTCTCTAGAGAGATCGTGGCCCTTTTTGCACAGAGGAAGAACAATATACTTTAGAATAGACTGCCACATGTACACTAGAGCTTGCACTTGTAAGATTTCTCTGAAACCTTCTAAATAGCTCAAACTGTTGCTTTTAAGGAACACAACTACTTTGTTGTACCAGGCTTTTTGGGCAGTCTTCCTGAACAGCACTTCTGGGCTTCAACAGTGATAGAGGAGTGCGTGTTCCCTACTTATCGCGGAAGAGGTACTTTCTTCAGAAATGAGTTTTTCAAAAAAGCACATGAATCCAAAGAGGCTGGGAAGGATCATACAGACTGTTAGTTGAAGTGTGTGTACAACCAGTACCCAGTTTTTGTAACTTTTTTTAAGTTGAACAAGATTGGCCCAAAAAGGACCAATTCTGTGTTTTTCGGATCAACATGGAATATAAGGACATAAATAAAACGCTTCCTAAATCTCACTTATTAAAGAAGGGAAGAGTTTAGAATCTGGCCACAGAAATGTAATGCAAGTAGAGAGGAGGGACAAGCTGCTGATGTCCTGCTTTGCAACATTGACTGTAATCACAGAATCACTAAGGTTGGAAGGGACCTTCAAGATCATCAAGTCCAACCATTAATCCAGCGCCACCATGTCCCCTAAACCATGTCCTGAAGTGCCACATCCACACGTTTTTTGAACACTTCCAGAGATGGCGACTCCACCACCACCCTGGGCAGCCTGTTCCAATGCTTGATCACCCTCTCAGTGAAGAAATTTTCCTAATATCCAATCTAAACCTCCCCTGGCGCAAGTTGAGGCCATTTCCTCTTGTCCTATCACTAGTTACTTGGGAGAAGAGACCAACACCCTCATCGCCACAACGCCCTTTCAGGTAGCTGTAGAGAGCGAAGTTGTAATCACTCATCTTGGGGACCATTTCAAACTCCATGGGTGTATAGAGTTAACATGACAAAATGTGCTCTCTGTTACAAAATGCCACTCCTGTCAGGCAGTAGAAAAGACACAGTTGAGAGCTTTATCTCCCAGTTCTGCTTACAGAAGTGATGTAAGGAAAGATGCATGTAAATAGTGTTGGGTTTTTTCGGTGGGTCTTTTTGTGTGGTGTTTTTTGCGGACTTGGGAATTTTGGGGTGTTTTTTTGTTGGGGGGGTGTGTGTGGTTTGTGTGGGGGTTTTTTTGTTTTGTTTTGTGTTTTTTTTTTTTTTGTTGGACTGGTAGTTTTTTTTTATTTACTGATGAAAAAGGCTAACTCCAGTATCCTGTTTTCTACCGAGGATTGCTAACAGACCGTGCTATTTGTGTTAAGCTAGTCAAAGCAATGACTTGTTCATTAATATATTTTTAAAAGGTTAGCTTATTTTTTTTTTGCAACCTTTTACTGTAGGATTATCTTAACTCCTGTAACCATAACATTCATGTTGTATTCCAAAGGTAAATGTGATACAGTGCACTCATTAAATGTAGAAGCTGAGCTTGCCTGAATTTCTGACTAATTACCTTGTCTTTTTCTGTTTTCAGGGTTTCGCAAAAATGATGAAATGAAGGCTATGGAAGTATTACCAATTTTAAAGGAAAAAGTTGCATACCTTTCAGGTACAGTTATTTTCTTCTCTCGTGGAATGCATAACTGTGTTGTTAGTCAAATGCTAAATGGTATTCTAAATACTTTAAATATCGTTACAAAGTCATGGAAAGCTAGGGTAGCACCTATTCATTCCAGTTGGGTATCCCAAACATAACAGAAGCATTGTGAAAGGATCTGTGTTTTGTTGAATGTGAAGCATACTGCATGTTGTTGTCCCAGTCATGTCCTGTCTCCCCTGCATATCCAACAGTACTACTTAGAATGACCTGCTGTACCATAGTCATATTCCTTCTCTTATTTCGGGTTCTTCTGCTGGAGAGTTTTACAGAGATGGCTTTGTTACTGGCCCGTCTGAAGCACTGGAGAAATACCTCTGTTGCAGAAGTGAAATTTCAGAGCATATCCTTTGAAACACACTTAATAACTTAATGGTGAAATGAGTTATCATCTAATTTTAGCTATCTGCAGCATACACCTTGAAGTTGGTTGGTTACTTAGTGAAGAATAGCAGAGGATTTAAAAGTGGGGTTTGAATGAATGAGTATCGTAACATATTCTATAACTTGATAAGTAACTTTACTTGATGGAATGATGTCCGAGGTGCATATTTTTGTGAACTGCATTTTGGGTGTGAGAAAGTATTTCCAAATCTGTTGGGATTAAACAGTATCATTCTCTTTGCCATAATTCGTAGTATCAGATTTAGAGGACAATCTTGTATTTGAAAGGAGCTTTGGGTTTTTGTGTTTTTGGTTGGTGTGTTTTTTTTTTTTTTTATAAACAATTTGTCAAGAACTCAAAAAATAAAGCTTTCACCTGTAAATATTAAAGATACAAAATGATCCCTGAAATTGCACTCTTCAGAGATTTGCTGTGCTTGGATGCTGATGCTTGCAAGTACACTGTGTAGTTCGCAGTACTTCATCCTGTCCACTCTGCTAAGTCAAGAAGAGATGTAAAGCAAAAGAAGATTTTTTTATTTTTATTTTTTAAAAGGTCCTGGCAATTCTAATGAATGATATAACCGACTGCCCAGAGCCAGTTTTCCTGGTAGTGTGGAACTCCCAATTCTTCTGCTTATGTATTGTACTAGTCGTGAGGGCTTGCTTAAAATTGTATTTTCAGAGGGAAAGAAGAAAAGAAAGGGAGTTAAGCACAATATTTCAGTTCCTCATTACTCTTTTTGGACCTTGCGTTATGGCACTTAATGAAAATGTAGTCAGTTTCCATTCCAAAACCTCGGAATTTCCAGGTTTTCCAGAGCTTAGTTTAGACCCCTTACAAGGGATCCAAAAGATGATAGGTGTTCTCTAATGTTGATTTGTAAGCATATGGCATTCTGAAAAGGCATTAATTCAGTGAAAGTGAAGTGGGCCAAATGAAAATTGAGGGGGAGATGATGGATTATGAACCAGAGCAGATGAGCTCCAGACAGGAAGAAGTGGTTGCCAACTTGCCTGTGTAAAGGTAGCAACTTCTGGTAGAAGAATGGAGCAAACAGCTGTGGGCAGCAAGACTGGCTGGAACTGATCTGCCAAAATCTGTAGTTTCACATTTCCATTGCGAGTGGGGCTCCAATGAAATGAGATACAGCAGTAGTGCAAGTGATTAAAAAAGAACAAACAACCAACCCGCAACAAAACAAACACACACCCTGCGACCCTCACCCCCAGGAAAACTACCACCACTAGATCTTAACCATTGTGGAACTAGAACTGTCAAGTTTTGTACCTGGGAACACAAAGGTAAGGAAGACTCTTGGACTATTGACTGAGAGGCTTTCAATGTCTGCCTGTCTTTTTTTTTTCTTCAAAAGTACAACTTTTACTCAAGTACTTGGTTTTAATATTTGGAAGTACAATAACTGGTTAAGGTCTGTAGAAGTAGGACGTTGGGGATATATGTACTAAAATTCATTTCTAAAGGTAACTCTAACTTATCTCTACTAAAAACACTAATAGTCCCACTAATCCTAAGGCATCCACAAACATCACTATAATTTTTGTGGTTTTGTTCTCTCATTTATATTGGAGTTCTAGTAGAGTTGTTGCAACATGTTCTCAAGTAGAAAGTAAGTATGACAATCAACAGTGCAAAGAAAAGAAATGGTTATAGAGCAGGAAAGTTACACAAATAACACAGTCTGAAAAAAAAATTCATGGAGTGCTTGAGATCCTCAGTTCACTTTCCCAGTCTTTTCTCTGCCTTGTTCTGCTGAGACCTTCCTTCTCCAAGTTAAATGAGTAAGTATGGGCTGTATAGCAGTATATTCATCTTTGTGTTCTTAGAATACTAAAGACACTGATCTTTCCACAGTGCTGACTTTGGTCCCAAGAAATGCTTAACCGCTTATTTTGAGATGGACTTACAAGGGTAAACCATCTTATGGAGACACCTGGACAGGCTGAAAGAGTGGGCTAGCAAGAACAGTATGAAGCTTAACAGAGACAAATGCAGAGTTCTGCACCTGGGTCAGAATAACCAAAGAACCCTGTACAGGCTAGGGTGTGTATATCTGAGGAGTAGCCTTGTAGAAAGGGACCTTGGGGTCCTGGTGGAAAAAAACTGAACATAAATCAGCAGTGTGCTCTGCAGCCACAAAGGCAAATTGGATCCTGGGCTGCATCCGTAGGAGCTTACTTGCAGAGACAGAGATGTGATCATCCCATTCTACTCTGTGCTTTTCTGGCTGCACCTGGAGTACTGTGTTCAGTTCTGGTCCCCACAGTCAAAGAAAGACACAGGCAGACTGGAGAGGGTCCACAGGAGGGCCACAAAGATCATCAAAGGTCTGAAGAACCTGACCTGTGAGGAGAGACTGAAGGAGTTAGGTGTTTTCTCCTCGGAGAAGAGAAGGCTCAGGGGGTACCTCATCACAGTATTCCAGTACTTAAAGGGCAGCTAAAAGGAGGACAGAGTCTCTGTCTTCACAAGGAGCCACATGGAGAAGACAAGGTGCAACGAGTGCAAGTTGCACCAGGAGAGGTTTCACCTCAATATAAGAAAGAATATTTTTTACAATAACAGTCATTCACTGGAACAACTTCCTCAGGGACATGGTAGAGTCCTCATCACTGAAGGTTTTCAAGGTGTGATTGGACAGGGTGCTAGATAATCTAATTCAGGCTTCCTTTTCTATGAAAGGTTAGACCACATAATCTTTCAAGGTCCCTTCCAACCTGGGCTATTCTGTGGTTATTCTGTGGTGCTATGAGAAGTTTGAATCTGAAGTCATCAGTGAAGGAATTAATTCTGAGGCTCCCAGCTCCACCAGGCTTTTGGGATCCCATTGCCTTTCTAAAGACACAGGCAGACTGGAGAGGGTCCACAGGAGGGCCACAAAGATCATCAAAGGTCTGAAGAACCTGACCTGTGAGGAGAGACTGAAGGAGTTAGGTGTTTTCTCCTCGGAGAAGAGAAGGCTCAGGGGGTACCTCATCACAGTATTCCAGTACTTAAAGGGCAGCTAAAAGGAGGACAGAGTCTCTGTCTTCACAAGGAGCCACATGGAGAAGACAAGGTGCAACGAGTGCAAGTTGCACCAGGAGAGGTTTCACCTCAATATAAGAAAGAATATTTTTTACAATAACAGTCATTCACTGGAACAACTTCCTCAGGGACATGGTAGAGTCCTCATCACTGAAGGTTTTCAAGGTGTGATTGGACAGGGTGCTAGATAATCTAATTCAGGCTTCCTTTTCTATGAAAGGTTAGACCACATAATCTTTCAAGGTCCCTTCCAACCTGGGCTATTCTGTGGTTATTCTGTGGTGCTATGAGAAGTTTGAATCTGAAGTCATCAGTGAAGGAATTAATTCTGAGGCTCCCAGCTCCACCAGGCTTTTGGGATCCCATTGCCTTTCTACCTGCACATTGGTCCTGATTCCAGCACCAGACCACCAAAGGTATCTCCTAAGCCATTCTTGAGATGATATTTTGATCCAATCAGAAATCTTGTGTTTTAATCAAGTTAAAGCTCTTGGTAACAGATACCTCTCACTGAGGTACCACTTTTACTCCAAGTCTACTATGTTGTGATGAAACTGTATTTATAAGAGTTTCCCTTTTCTCCTCCAACAAGTACAAGTACCTCTTCAATCTGTGTTAGCCTGAGTTATATTGCTTTGATATTGCTTTATGTCAGTCTTTGCTTTTCATTTATTCGTTTCCTTTGTTCATTTTCAGGTGGATATATTTAAGAGATCTACTCAACATAGTTTCTTTTTCTTTGCACAATCTGAGTACTTCATCACCTTGAAAAAAATATTTCAGTAGTTGCTTTTCCTCTGCCAGAGGTCACAGTAGGTCTGATGTGATTCACTCCTGCATTCTGCTCCATCATCACAATCAGTTTAGCCTGCTTTATTGAGCTATTAATGATGTGTTTCTGTAAATGAAAAAAAAATCACATAATTTAGTGTATCTGAAGATGTATTTAGATGGAAGAGGATTCTTTCTCGTCTCTGTTGTCTGTAGCACCAGATGAGGTAGTTTAAAAAAAATAAAACTAAAAAAGGTGAATTTAGAACTAAATTTTTTACAAATGAGGGCTGTGGTGTGGATAAGTCATCTTGGCTTTTTAAAATCTGTGTGGTCCATGCATATCTTAACATCACAGCTACACTAACATATTTTAAAACTGTTACAGAAAGCTAAAGTTCATGCTTGAGAAGACAGGTTGGAGTGAGGAAGAGAGATATAGGCTTAGATATAAGAGGCAAGGAAGTACAGAAGAACAAATACCTCTGTGAAGTATTGTGAAGTACATCCTGTTATGTGTAGGCTGATAACTGTAGAGTCCCAAAGCTCAACAAGCTAGCCTGAATTCTGGTGTCTGTATTGATACCATATTGATTCTGGAATAAATTCTGAATTTAAAATACTTGTCCTTCATGAAACCAGTCTGGCAGACTGGACTGCTCTATCTTGTGTTGGTCAAAATAACAAAATAACTTCACGTGTAGAATGCAAATGCTCGAGTGCAACTTCCCTGTGAATCCTGTGTTGTTTTTCTAAAGCTGCCAAAAAAGTGGTTCTCAAAAAAAAAAAGGGGGGGGGGGGGAGGCGGGGGGGAAAGGAAGACAAAGCGGGGGGGGGGGGGAAGTGGGGGGGAAAGGAAGAGAAAAAGCTTCCTTGAACTGATTTTCACCTAACTGGGAAATAATCTGCTTGAGTATTGGGTGTCTAACCACCTGAAATCAAAATGCCTCTAGTGTTGTAACCATGAAGTACAGATGGAGTCTGGGATGCAACTTTTTGGTTCAGTTTTAAACTGAAGTCTGTTGAAGTACGGATGCGTTTACATTTCCACACATACTTCCAGAAAGAGAAGCATTTTCTTATAGGTGCAATTATCTTGGTTTCATATGAGAAACAGCACTTGATGACTTGTCCCGCTTTTCAAACATGCTGTAAAAGCCCACCGCTTAGCTTTGCCCAAGTACTTTAAGACTAGATAAAAAGGTATTTCCTGAAAAAACTGCACTACTCAGCCTGCTGGATTTTGGCGCCATTTGGAGGCCATTGACAAGACTGCTGTTAGTGATGTGCACTAGACAGAAGTGATTCACGTTGGCTGACTCATGTGAGTTGATCAGCTACTTGTATGACACATCCTGGCATAGACAAAAACAGAGAGAATATCTCAGTGCAGTGGAAGTTTTATAGAAAAGAAAAGGGATAAAAATGGAAGTCTCACTGATGATAGTAGTAGCTTAATAAGTTTTTGTTAAACCAAAATAAAAGGGGTTTGAGTTGAATAAAGACTATTGTGAAACAGTAAATTTCCACCTGATGCCTCATGCATTGTTGCTTTTAACATTCCTGTTCGTGTATGACACAGGAGCTTAAGTAGCAAAGGAAATGAGAGTTATTTATTGGAAAAGGCCTAAAAAAGCTTTCAGTGGAGCTGATGAAAGAAAATAAGTATTTGGAACTTTTTTGCATAATATTTACAATTTTGGTATTTGGTTTGTGACTGGATAGTAAAATTCTTTTCACCAAAAATCAAGCTGTGTTAATTTCATCAATACTCATGTATACCTGAAATTTTCATGACAAGTTTTGTCTCCAACATACAAAAATTTCAGGATAAGATTTATCATAAATGTAAGCACCACACTTGAAAAATGGGTTTTTTCTGTGGTGTATGTGGAGCTGGGACCCAACTGAAGTGGTATCCAAAAGAGCATAAGAATATGGGTTTCTTTCCTCTGCCATGTTGGAAAATTGCATGATACAAGAGTTGCTGTGTGGGAAAGGCCGGGAGGACTGATCTGAGCTGACTGTGTGTAACAAGGCATTTTTTTTAAATGCTTGGAGGGTGTTAAAGACAATTCAGCATACACTGTTCTTTGCTAGCTGCTGCTTTTGAAAGAAGAATTTTCAGCCTGAGCAATTGAGCACTTTTTTGGGGGGATTGGAATTAGTACTGTTTGCTAGTTGGAACCTAATTTTTTTTTTTTTTTAGATCTCTAGCTGCTGACTGAGGAGAGCATTAAGGGCTGCAGCAGACTGTCAGCTAAGTTTGGTAGCTTTGGAGCCCTGTGATCACTCTGGAGCTGAGTGGAGACCTGGGCTATTGGATTCCCAGTCTTGTCATTTATCCTTCCTTTCTCTTGGGGCTTCTGTCTTGCTTTTATCCTGTCACTTGCTATGTAAAAATCCTCAAAGGTCTATGCTTGGCAAGTGGATCAGGATGGTCAAGACCAGCCTTGCCCTCTGTCCATTAGAGTGAGACAACTCAGTTGTTTTTAATCTCATGTCCCACTGAAGAGAGTCATGGAATATAAGAATACTAATTTCCTTTAAGTTTATATTCCTGGCATTGCAGCTTGATAGAAGCTCAGAGATGTCTCTATCTTTTCCAGGTTTCATTTGGTGCCTCACAGGGAACATGTCCAGTGCAGACAATCCCTGTAGACCTTCACAGCTAGGCTTAGTGTCTCTAGCAAGCACATGCAGACTGTGTTGGGGAAGACAGTAATGAATTTTTGAGTGACTGGTTTTACTCATTTGCTTTTGGCCTTCCTTTCTAATGGATATTTTAAAACTTTTTTCAGTAACATGGATTTACAATGAGGAGCTGATTTACAATGAGAAATCATTCAGGATAGAGGATAGAGGATACTGTTTTTCTGTGCTTCCATGGGACAGAAGAAAACAGTGCACACATCTGTGATTGAGAACATAGATGTGAAATTTGGCTAGTAGGAATGTGTCTGCTATTATACAAGTGTTGATAAGAGCAGCCTACTGACTTGAATTTAGCATTTAGTAATAGTAACATTTTGTTGTCACTAGCAAGTGGTTGGGTATAAGATTACATTTTAATGTTCAATTACAATAAGTCTGTCCAGTTTAACAAGTAAGATGAATACATTTAAGTGGAACCACTCGAAGTCAGATTTTTTGCCTACATGGTGAGTGGATTCATAATTTCCTTGTTTTGCATTGCTAACAAACTTAAAAACTGTAATCTGACATCATAATCTGCATATCAGAATGGGGTAAAAATATAAATTAAATGCTTAAATAGTATCCACTCACTCATCTTGGATATGCATCAGGTGTGAAATTCTATACACCTAAACTTTGTGCTAGTAATCAAGTTAACACTGAGTATCCTGTAGTTGCCTACGAAGTAGCATAACTGTAGTTAAGTTTAATCTGTACAATTTCTGATTAAAAAGTTAAACACCTAACAAAGCACCGTTGCGGGAGACATCACACTGCCAGTCAAACTTGAATGTGACTGTAATGTGTAAGTGTAATTCCATGGTTATTCTTTGTTTCAATTTTTTGTCGGGTTCTTCCTCATTGTAGGAATTGTGACAGTATGCTTATCAATATTCCCAAAATTCAATTTTAAACTGGTCTCTAAATGGCAGTGTTGGTATTTAACTTGAAATCACTTCTTTTTTTAAGTGTGTATTCATGCAGCAGTGTAGGACTTAGGTTTTCCAAAAGCATTCTGAAGACTAGTTTTGCAAACTAGAATGGTCTTATGCTGTGGGTTTTTCTAACTTTTTTTTTTTCCAATTTTTCAGGTGGCCGAGATAAGCGTGGAGGCCCCATTCTAACATTTCCAGCTCGTAGTAATCATGATAGAATACGGCAGGAAGACCTTAGAAGACTAATTTCATACCTAGCTTGTATTCCTAGGTAAGTTATGATCACTTAATAAGCTCTGAAGCAGTAAAACAAAATAAATGCTATATGTTGTGGTATGCCCACAAGCTAGAATACTGAGCAGGTTAAGAAAATGAGCAAATTCATACCAAGTTCTGTCAGTTACTGTTTTCAGACTGCTTTTTTGGAAAAGACCTAAATAGTTGCTCTACCTTGCAGAAGAAAGGCAGCTGGCAGAATGGCTGGTATGCTTTAGCTGGAAGTAGTTTGTGTCTTGGAAATGGCGCTGCCATGCCATATTGCTGTCACTGTGTTGAAGATTGCAAATACAACTCAAAGGCTTTCAGTACATTAATAACTACAAACATGCTGGTCACCATTCACAATATGCCTTGAATGGACTGCGGTCAGCACAACACTCCTAACTGTTATTTGTCTTAGATAAATTATAGTATCCTGATATATCACAGAAATAACCAGGAGAGAGAGATGTAAAATTGCTTCTATAGGTCTCAGATAAACCGTGGAGAGATGTGTGAAAATACTGATTTCATTGTATTATCAAAAATTTTAGCTATGATTTACAATATGCTGTTTAAATAAATTGGCAGAAATAAAATCCAGCACGTGTATGTTTGTATATATATAAATATTTATACAAAAAGTTTGTTCACATAAAACTTTATTTCCTAGTAGTAACTGAATTGGGGGCAAAAATGATCTTAAGAACTTGATTTTAAGTCTGCCTCAGAATCTGGCAACATTTGGTGCAGACTGGAGCAGCTCTGACTGTGCCTGAATATGTTTGCTCATGACCTCAAGGAGCAGTTGTCATAGTTGAAAAAATAATCCCGTGGACAACATCCCTCAATGCAGTATCTTCCATACTTCTCTAATGTGTTGATTTGTAGGCACTCTTCTTTGCCTCTGATGTAATCAGCTATTGGTTTCAGAGTGGCAGAAGTGCTTTCATAAAAATACCTTCTAGACATCTAGTTAAGAGTGTGTATGGCCTTTAAAAGCACTTGTTGGTAGTTCAGTTATCCTGGTCTTTATTTCACCTTAAAGTATAGGAGTGGTTAGTGTTCACTCTTTCTGTTGTTGTTGATTGGTTGGTTGTTATTTGAGGGATTTTGGGGAGAAAGAGGAAGGAGCAGGGGAATCAGTCTTGAGATTTTTATATCTGAAATAATTTGACTTCACATTTGAATGTTTGACGTATATTCTAGCCCTCTAGAGCTTCAAGTTACTAGAGAAGTTAGTAGGCAAACAGACATCAAAATATGACCCAAGAGATTTTTCTAGAGGTAATCTGGCAAAATATGGTGGTCCTCTAGCAAAAGGTGTGTGTTAATTTAGCATCAATAGACTTCAAATAAAAATAAAGTTAGTGTAGGTTTTTTTCTCTGCAAGCATGGCAAAGCTTTGAGAATAAAGGGAACTTTATTAAAAGCAAGACTCACTTTCACTCAAGTCATGTAAAACATGACTGGTCATGCAACTCTTGCTAATTAAGAAGCCCCAACTGGTACAAATGGCCCCAAATAGTTTGTCTGTTGATTTGTTATTGCAGTACTGTTACTCTAGGTAGCTGAAGATTCAGAGGTATCTGTTGTTTTTTTGCAAGAGATCTAAACACTTAAGGTGATTTGGTCTCACAATTTTATTACTCTAATGATTTATTTGATTTAAAAATATTGCTAAATTTAAGACATCAGTGCTGACTGGACCAGGTATTAGTGTAGTTCAGGTTTACCTAACAGATGACTTGGTAGCCTCCCAGAACAATTTTTGTGATCCTTGGCCAAAAGGGATTAATTCTGTGTCAGATGATGTGGCCACATGACAGGAGGACACATCTGCATTGTATTACATGGTGCTTTGTGCACCCCAGTAGATGTATGCCTCATGAATTAGTGGCACGTGCTATCCTTCTCAGTTTGTGTGGTAGGATAGGAATGGGCCAAGCTGCGCTTGTATAATAGTATGCAGCTTTTCAATAATGGGTGTATCTTTAAATCAGTAGTTGTTTTTGTCCTTTAATTGTGTGAGGCTATTAGAAAACATTTTCACCAGGGACAGAAAATTGTACCTTGTAGCCTAGATGTATTCCAAGCTGGTCAGTTTTAATGCATTTTCCTGCTGCCATTGCTATTTTTGTCATTCCTATGGGCAGGTAGGACAGCCAGCATTTATCTTGATAAAGTCTGTTTTTAAATGGTGGGGGGGTTTTTTGTTTGGGGGTTTTTTTTTTGTAATCCAGCTTTAAAAAAGCTCCTCTTCTAAGGAACCTGTATTACCACTTCTTTCAGGAGCTCTTCGGCTCTCCTGCATCAGCCGTAACTCATCCTTCTACAATGTGGCCAATGAGCCTGTGTAAAGTATGCCAGTGAAGCTTCTCTACTTCTTGGACACTCTGAAAACCTCACCACATGAACTCCAGAATTGCACTTACATTAGTCACATGCCTGAAAGTGACTCATGTACTCAAACAATGGACATTTGGTCCCTTTTGATAGTCCATTGGTTATGATGCATTGGTTTTGAAATATTTTCCCTTTCCATCTTAAAAAGGTCATGTAGCAAATTCGACTGGAACAAAATCAAAATTTCTGGTGTTGGTGGTGATTGCCACTTTTGATCATTGGCAAGCACTAAGTGTACAAAAGGTATTGATGAAAAGAAATTAAATCTGCCATTCCCAGAAGAGTTGCCAGAGAATTTGGGTATAAGGTCTGTCAACTCTTGGACAGCAAAATTGAGCTCAAATTTTGTAGAAACAGGTTGATGCGGTTTTCTTCACAGCCATAAAATGCTTTCTTATCCATTAACTATCCACAAATTGATCCTGCTACAGAAGAAAATGTCAATAAAAGGGGTTGGTGTTTTTTTTTCCCCTCTACAGACTAACACTCTTCAACTCTCAGATAATATGGGGCTAGGTCTGAGAGAGTTTAAAAAAGTTGCAAAGTGGTGGGTGAGAACAATATGCCATATTCTGTCTTTTAGAGGATCCCCAGTCATTAGAAAGGCATGAATATTGTCATCAGTAAGTGTGTGTGTTCTGAAGAGTCAGTTGTAAATGAATTACATATTGCTGCTTCAGTAAACATACCTTTAACGTGTGTGTAAGGTAAAGGAAAAACTAGACAGGAAGATGAATCATTGTGAATATAAACAATAAGAATGAAAGAAGAGATAAAGGCAGATTATCAAATCAGCAACAGGTGTAAACCTGTCATCTGCAAGGAGTTTGGCAGGGGGGTGAGAAGCTTCCTGAGAGGTTCATGAGATCTGCTGTACGTGTCAGCTAGTCAACAGTGAGACCCCGGTGAGGGTGTGGCAGTTAGCTGAGAAGACCACGTTCATTAAGCAGTGTGGTGCAGTAGGATGCTGTGTTTGAAGTTGGAACGCTTGCTTGATAATCTTTTGTTCTTTCTTCTACAGTGAGGAAGTATGTAAACGAGGATTCACCGTCATTGTAGATATGCGTGGGTCAAAATGGGACTCCATAAAGCCTCTGCTGAAGATTTTACAGGAATCCTTTCCCTGTTGTATTCATGTTGCACTGATAATCAAGCCAGACAATTTCTGGCAGAAACAGAGGACTAACTTCGGCAGCTCTAAGTTTGAGTTTGAGGTAATTTCCCCTACGGTATAGAAATTTACATTTATTTCATGGTTTTAAGTGTGCTCACTACTGATCAACGTCTTGAAAACTCTCAGATAAATTACATTCTAGATGGGGGGGGTACATTAATCCAGTGGTGCTAGGCAGAAGGCAGTTTTCATCTGTGTAGGCTAGTAGGCTAGTTGTGCATGTTGTCGTTTGTGTTCTTTTTCTGCGGATGAGAAGGATGGAATTGGGGTTTTACTCTTAATGATAAAAAGTTGGGTTTCATCTCTTTGTTGTCTTGGTCTGCATTGTGATAGTCGTGATATCACCAGCATCCTGTGCAGAGGAAAGCAGACAATTGAACCTGCTTAAAGCAGCATGTTATCTTCCTGCTGCTTTACACAAAGTCAAAATTTAATCACAATGGCAGTTGAAAGAATGGTTGCTGTTCTCTCCTTAAGTGTAGTGAGATAAGAAAGAAGTAAAATGTTTCTCTCATTTGGGGAAATGCCTGCAAGATAGAAGGCTGATCAGAGTTGATATTAGAAGAGAAGTGTATGAGAAAAGTTGTCATGTGGACTTCATGAACAAAATAATCAATTGTTAGAAAAACAAAAACTTGAAAGAAAATTTCAAATTAATTTCAGTAACAGCATTTTTTTATTTTCACTTTTATTTTTTAGACAAATATGGTGTCTCTGGAAGGCCTTACCAAAGTAGTTGATCCTTCTCAGCTAACCCCAGAATTTGATGGCTGTTTGGAGTACAACCATGAGGAGTGGATAGAGATCAGAGTTGCCTTTGAGGACTACATTAGCAATGCAACCCATATGCTGTCCAGACTGGAGGAGCTGCAAGATATATTGTCAAAAAAGGAAATGCCTCAGGACCTGGAAGGTGCTCGCAATATGATAGAGGAGCACTCACAATTAAAAAAGAAAGTCATTAAGGCCCCTATCGAGGACCTTGATGTGGAAGGACAAAAGCTGCTCCAGCGGATACAGAGCAGTGATAGCTTCCCCAAAAAGAACTCTGGGTCAGGGAATGCAGACTTACAGAACCTTTTACCCAAAGTATCCACCATGCTGGACAGGCTGCACTCAACACGGCAGCATCTGCATCAGATGTGGCATGTGCGGAAATTGAAATTGGACCAATGTTTTCAGCTCAGGCTGTTTGAGCAGGATGCTGAAAAGGTAAACGATTGGGGGAGGGGAGCATAAATGGGTGCTGCCATTGATGGGAACAAGGCTTGGCAGACTTGAAAGAATTACCAAGGATAACTGCAAATAGTAATTTTTGTCTTTAGGGTTAATTGCTAGCCTTTTAATGAGAAATAAAGGATTTCTTGATTGAGAGTGACTCTTAAGTCTTCTGGAGTAAAGGTGATGGGGTAGTAATTCCAAGCTGTAACAAACACAGATAGCTCTCGCTGAAGAAAATTTTAAGTGGTAGTGACATTAAAGCTTTTGCTTTGGGAAGTTTTGTTTCCAGACAGATGCTTTTGCATGCATCAAATTAAGATGAATGCTGGATACTTTATAAATACAGATGACTTGAGGACTACATCAGTCTCCTTTTGAGTGACCCTTGGGGTTTGAGTGACAGGCAGTCAACAAAATCTGAAGAGGATGACATGGGGAACTGCTTCATTGATGCAGGAGTTGAAGTCCCAGGCTAAAAAATGTATCTCTTTTGACAGTGCATATGTCATTAACAGGGGACTGAGTGATCTCAGAATGTTTCGGGTTAACCAGTCCCTTCAAATGAGAAAGCCCTTGGTTGTCACAGAATTTGAAGAGGAAATATGGCAGGCAGTGCACTTTTAGATGAGCTCAAATAAGACCTCTTTTCATCTAGAATGGTTTTGCAATCACTTCTTATTAACTTGTTACCATGGAACAAATAACTGTAAGGAAGGGTGGGGAGTTTTTGTCTGGGAGAAGAAGTAACTAGACTATGCAGTCAAGTGGTAAGTATGGTCTTTGTCAGGTTTCTTAAAATAATTTGTGTAAGAATGCCTGAACTGGTTGAGACCAAAGTTAAACCAGTATCCTGCTCTCCAGCAGTGATCATAAGCAGATGCATGGGGAAGAGTAAAAACAGAGCAAACATGTAATACTTCTCCTTCCTCCTCCTTCGGCCGTTTTCTTCCTCCGTACTTTCCCTTATCCTGATCGTTTCAGCTCATGGACTTTCTTTATACTACTTTTAATGTTTTCTGCTGTGTTTAAAAAAGAAGTAATTTTTTTAAAGTACCATTTAACTAAGTGTTTCCTGAGTGGGTATAGCTGAAAATAGTAGGGGTATGTGAAGTGTTGAAAAAAATTTGGTCAAGTGAATTTAGAGTTATAAAATTATTTAGAAAATAACAAGCTGCTGGTGTAGTATTGCTTTTTCTGGCCTGAAATGCTTTTCAGCAACCTTTCAGCCACTTAATTACATCATCAATTACTCTTTCTTACAGCATGAACAGAATATATTTGGTGATGCTAATGTGGTACTGAAAGATCTGTTCTTCATTTACTCATCTAAAAGTTGCTTACAGAAGTTGGGCTTTAAGAATCTCCTCATGAAATACTTGAGCCTGTGGGGTTGATTTCTATCCTGCCATGTGGTTGCATAAACTCCTATCTGTGTTTCCTAGGTTCCCGATTTCAAGGATAAGTGTATATTAAATTAATGCATCTTCTTGGGCCTTGGGATGACTGGTTAAGAGATCAGGAGCACAAGTAGTGTTCTTCTCTGTCCTTTCAGTTGCAAGGAATGATAAGGGAAGAAACGGGAAGAGCCAGGAGATTAATACCTGGCTCCAAGCCTAGTGTCACTGGCAGTATTTTGGGGTTTTTGATCATGGGTCAGTTTACGTGAAACCAAGTCTGTTGACAACAGAAGGGGTACACGTGTCTCAAAGGGGAAGAGGATCTTTGCACAGAAGTTAGCAGGGCACATTGAAAGAGTTTCAAACTAGATTTGAAGAGGGAAAGGGAGAAGACCAGGCTCACTAGAGCATCCCACAGCATTCACATGGAGAAACTGGTGGCTCATGGTTTAGACAGGTGTACTTTTTGCTGGGTAAAAAACTGGCTGGACGGCCGAGCCCAGGGAGTTGTGGTGAACAGAATTAAAGCCAGTTGGCAGCCGGTCACAGGCGGTGTTGCCCAGGGCTCAGTATTGGGGCCGGTCTTGTTTAATATCTTTATCAATGATCTGGATGAGGGGATCGAGTGCTCCCTCGGTAAGTTTGCAGATGACACAAAGTTAAGCAGGAGTGTTGATCTGTTAGAGGGTAGGAAGGCTCTGCAGAGGCATCTGGACAGGCTGGACCAATGGGACGAGGTCAATTGTATGTTCTTGTGGGGGACTTCAACTTACCAGATGTCTGCTGGAAATACAATACAGCAGAGATGAAACAGTCTAGGAGGTTTTGTTTGTGAACAGAGAAGGACTTGTGCATGATGTGGTGGGTGGAGGCTGTCTTGGGCATAGCAATCACAAAATGACAGTTTTCAGTTCTTGGAGAAGTAAGCTTGGGGGTCAGCAGAACTGCTACCTTGGCCTCCCTGAGGGCAGACTTTGGCCTGTTTAGGAAGCTGGTTGACAGAGCCCCTTGGGAGGCAGTCCTGAAAGGCATAGGAGTCCAGGAAGGCTGGACGTCCTTCAAGAAGGAAATCTCAAAGGTGCAGGAGCAGGCCATCCCCGTGCACTGAAAGATGAGCTGGCTGGGAAGAAGACCATCCTGGCTGAACAGAGAGCTTTGTCTGGAACTCAGGAAAAAAGAGAGTTTATGACCTTCGGAAGAAGGGGCAGGCAACTCAGGAGTACTACAGGGATGTCATGAGATTATGAAGATTGAAAATCAGAATTAACCGGTGTACTTCTGTAAAAGACAATATTAATTTGTTGGTATTTAAAGGTATTTAAAAGACGTGTAGATGCTTAGGGTCATGGTTTACTGATGAACTTGGCAGTGCTAGGTTAATGGTTGGACTCAATGATCTTAAAGGTCTTTTCCAAGCTAAATGATTCTATGATTCTTTAAAAACAGAGGGAAATGGTAGGCACCTCAAAATGGGGTTGATAGCAGCTAGCATACCTGGGAATTTATTTTTCTCATCAACCCATAGAAAAACATTAAGAAAAAGGTTTATGTAGTGTCCCAATTCATTGCTGGGTTAAGGCCCTTGCCTTAATCTGTTTGCAGCCCTTATTTCACTGCTTGTGTCAGATTAGATTTCATAGCTGAGGGCTGCTTCATCAGTGTACGTCTATGTCTATGTGGTTTAGTTAGGTGCAAGAAAGAGCTCGATTTTTGATGGAAAAATAAAGTGTATTGTATGGGGAGGGATAAACATGTTTGTTTTGGAGGACTTGCACAACTCTTAGCACAAGAAATCTGGTCTGATTCAGGAGAAGAGAAGACAAAAAAGGGGTGAGGTGGGAAGGAATCTGATCAGAATTGCTCTGTAGGTATTTGAAGGCAGCAAAGTCAGACCACCTGAAGAAAGGTGGTAACAAACGGGACCAGTGTCTATTTTGGATGATTTTCTAACACATCTTCACTGTAGTCTAGAAAAGAAACTGAAAATTTTAAAGAGTATATGATCAGCTGTCTCAGTTGTCTAAGCTCTTTAAATTTTTTATTTGTTTACAAAAGTCCTTACCATATTGTGGTCTACGTAAGATTTGATTTGTCATGTACCTGGGTGCTCTGGTAGCCAGCTTATTTTAAAAGATCATTAAATGAGTGCTTACTGCTTGTGGCTACCATTTTTTTTCTGAACAGTCCTTTTCAGCTTATCCAGAGAATAGGTGGGTCTTTTGAGCTGAGATACAGCAAAGATTTCAAACCATTGTGGAGGCGAGGGCAGGGTGTTAGACTTAGCCTTTTGCTGTGTTGCTTGGTCTTTGAAAACTTTGTCTTCCTGTGCCACTGTTAATGTACTTATGTACCTTCACTGATGGTCATTGTCAGATAAAGTCTTTCCTAAAATTTGATTGATTATTAAAATATTTTTTAAAACAAAACAAACAAACAAAAAACCCCAAAACCCAAGAACAAACGTATTTAAAGATTATCCTTAAACTTGTCTGGAAGAAGGTAATGTGTAACTCTGTGCTCAAGTATAGCTTTTAAAAACTGTTTAGCAATAGAAAACTTGTTTTCAAATCTGCTGTAAAGTTATGAACTAAATATTAAACTTGCTGCTGAAGTACTTGATCAGCAAGAATGAATTTACATTTAATTTTCATGAGTTGCCATTTTCATTCTAAATTACTAAGCTGCTGACATCATGAAATACGGACACTAGAGAATGTATAAGCTTGGTAACTCAGGGCTGTTCTCTAAGCCTGTTTGTTTACTGTGACTTCTTTGTGGTAATGAAGTTTATAACTTCATGATTATGATTTTATTGTACCTTGTTGAGGTAATCACCTATAGTAAAGATCTAACGGCCTCAGCTGTTTGGTCCAAAAAGTCAGATTTCTGCAATGATTTGTTTAAAATGTACGGTAACTTGCAGTGGAAAGAGCAGCAGTGTTGATTTTCATGGCCTTTGAATCTGTCTTCTGTGTTCACGGATTTCTCATGTTACTTGCCTGTGATTTCTACCATAACAAATTAGTGATTTTTTTTTTTTTCACCTTTTCCGTATTATTTTCTTGTAGATGTTTGACTGGATCACACACAACAAAGGTCTGTTTCTGAACAGCTACACGGAAATTGGAACCAGTCACCCGCATGCGATGGAGCTTCAGACACAGCACAATCACTTTGCCATGAACTGTATGGTAAGAACAGGACTCACTTCACATGACTGCCATATTGTCTGTTTGCTCTATGTTAAGGTAGAATTTGTAAATCATAAATGTAAATCATTCCTTCTGTTACAAATAGTGCTAATTCATATTTGAGCAGTGAAATTCTAAAACACAAAGAAGGAAAGTAAAGGATAGCCAAGTACAGAGGTATTGTGATCAAGCAACAAAAATATTTTGACCAATGGCAGTATTCAGCACAACCTCAGCACTTCTCAAATATATGCATCCAAACTTCTAGAACCTGGGATGTGTGTTTCAGTACTGTTTTGACTCTTTTAGGAAATTTCAGGGAATCGTGTAATACGGAATTTAGCATTCTATACAGAAAGAAATAGCTCGCAGGATCTTCTGAATAGACTGCAAGTCATACGAAAAGTTGTGAGAAGTAGTGATAAAAACTGAGCCTGGTACAGTAATTTTCCCTGTTTTTAAGGAGACACACTTCTAATTTCTGGTGCAGTAGAATGGAGCTAAACCAATCAATTTTTTTGTCAAATATGACCTTAGGATGAGCTATCCGTAAAAATTCCTATTTTAACTGGCAGTGAGTGAAAGCTACATATTTTCAGTTTCATAAATCCCTGTTTGGACATGAAGACTAAATTCTCAAGTACGTTTTAGGTCCTTTTCACTAGGAGGATTGGAGGTGTTTAAATAACTTTGGAAGTCTGGGCCTAAATCCAGTCCCTGGCTGTCAGGTCAGTGAAGGAAGAACACTACCACTCTTGTTAGAAAATAACATCCTTGGCAGCCCAAAGATGGGAACTGAATTAAAGTATGGTCAAAACAATCAACTTTTGCAAGAGGGTGTTTTTGGACTACTAATTGTAGAAAGAGAGAGTGGCAGAGTAAACTTTACTAGTAAACTGAAATCATGGAAGGACTAGTAGGGCAGCTCTTGTGTATTGCTAGAGTTAGGGCAGTAGGAGACAGGAGCAAAGAATGTACGTTGTTGTCTTTTGCACCCCAGCTATGTTTGCAAACGTTAAAAAAAAATAAAAATCAATAGGAACTTTTTTGAAAAGAGTAAAGAAAATGCTGGGGAACATTGTTATTAAGTTACATAAGGATGTAACTGACCATTGTGTTTGGAAGTTTCACTCCACAGGCATGGGGAATTGCTCCTTTATGGAGTACCTCATTGCTGTTGTTCATTGCCCCGCATATGAAGTAGAACAGAAAGAAACTCACAGAAGGACAGTACGTGTCATTGTCATGAGATGGCTTTTGGAATTTAGTAATTTTGGATAGCCTTCCAGGCAATTCTTGGGCTTGTACTCTAAACATTAAATTCTTCTTCTTCTGTAAGTCTGTCCTGGTGTTGGTCACTGTTGTCCTCTTTTCTTCAAATATGATTATTTTTTTCCCCCCTACTTCCATACTGTTCAGATGCTATCAACAGTAGGAAGCATTTGAGTGATGTAGCATAATCCCTCCTGCTCTGTTTTTGCTATTAGTCTTTTGCTGTTAATCTCTGTTTTGCCTGTTGTAGTCATATGCATTATTTACAGGGGACTTTTTCTCAGTGTGTGCAATGATTTCTTGAAGCATGCAAGGAGCAGCTTAAATCTGGGGAAAATTAAACAGACCAAATATGCAAGAGGGGAAAAACAAGCCACAGTTTTTTCAATGTGTTTCTGTAGGATAGCCCCCAGGAAAGGTGGTTCTCTGGCCCAGAATAGGAAAATACAAATTCAAAACAATCAAAACAACCTTGTTTTGATGTGAGAAGCATTCAGGTTTTCTCAGTTTTATTTGGTTAAATGGCAAAAGCCTTACATGTAGATTGGGGGAAGAATTTTACTGAATGTGACGTGAAAAAAATGAAGTGAGCTTGTTGAATTTTGGCAAGTCTTATTTTTCACTAGATTTTAACTGGAGAAATGTGGGGCAGTCTTAAATCCTGCAAGCACTTTCAGCTTCTCGCTGACCACTCTTCACATACAGTCTGTGCTTAACAAGCACTGTTCCTATCAGTGTAGCTCTTAACTCTTCCAGTAATCAGAGTTGATTTAAAATCTCTTATGTGAATGTTCTAACTAGAGATGGAATTTAACTTTTAACCCATCTACAACCATGCAAATTTATTCAGTTGGATGGGGTAGAGGAAGGAAGAGTGGCAACTACATAGTAGGTTTATTACATGGAGGAGATTTGGAAGGCTTTTCATTGTGGCCCTATGGACCCTAATAGATCTTGCTTTCCAGGGATTTTCTTTAGGCTTACTTGAGGTGGGGAAGGGCTGTTCAAAGGATAAATGCTGCCCAAGCAGCTAAATACAACCTCTTGCATGTGCTCACAGCTTAACCCTGATAATTGAAGTTGCAGCTGCTTTTCTCAACACGTTGTGGTTGCTGCAGGGCACATGCTCCCTTCACAGCAGGTGCTACCCTCTGCAATAGCTGGCTCTCCTATCTCCCTTTCCTTCACAATTAGCAGCATGACTTTCCAAGAGGTGCAGGAGGACAACTGCTACAGCTGCTTATGCCAAACTTGGGTGAGAAAGAGTGACAGCCTTTGGGTGAGATGCCAAAATTTTAATCTGATCTTCCAGTCTGAAATGAGCCACCTGGATGTAAACCGTTGTGAAAGCTACTTGGTTCCTGTCATGAACAGGAGTTGGTTACATCAAGGACAAAGAGGATTTGCTGAGTATTTCTTTTTCCCTGTAATGGCTTTCTGCCATTTTTAGAATCTAATTTTCAGTATTACAGCACAAAGTAGATGGGTGTTTAAACCAAATGTTGTAAAACAAAAAGGTGAGGAATACATTGGGGGAGGAAATTTAACTCTACTTTCATCAGTTTCATTAGCAAGCGATATGTCTAGGAATCTTATGTATTCACTATGTGACAGGCTCATGTGGTTACACTTCAAGGTAACAGGAATAAGTTCATGAAAGTCTCAAGCTTAATACACAGACTCATTCTCATTGCAGTGAAACTGTCCCACAGAAAAGCTGGGTAGGTGCACTGATGCACATTGAAGAAGGACATACCTTTGGTTACCATTGCTTAACACACATGTTTATGTGGCTAAAAAGGCTGCTGTCTGAAAGGTAGTTCACGTGTGCAGCTGTAGGTGCTATCACTGAAGTCAAGAGGCTGTGCACTGAAAAACGTCAACACTGTGTCTTTACAGGGCAAGTAGATCCTATCTTTCCTAACTGTGGGGAAAAATAAACTCATAATGATTCTCTCTCTAAAGATCAGAATGGTTTTTCAGTACCATTTAAAAGGCCTGCTTTCAGCAACAATAAATTGCTGTTGTCAAGTCCTGAGATTTATTAGAGTTAAGCAATACTAAGTTTCAGCTTGAAGTTCCTCTTTGGGTGACTAAACCAATGCTTCACTTCTCAAAACAAGCTTTTAGTACCTTTTAAGGGAGAAACTTGCAAATAGGGCATCGTAGCAGTTGCAAATACAAAAGTTATCTATCTACATTTTTTGAACTGCAAAACTAAAGTACCCGTGATTATACGATTAGTCAGTCTTGTATGTAAGAGTGGGAGAGACTGATGCTGTGCCTGTCCACTCTTTTTTCCTGCTGCTTTCCACACACTTTCTGGGACACAAGGGAAACAAAAGCAATCGTGAAATATAGGTGAGAAGGAGCATGATGTTATCTACTTGAATATTTTTTGTACTCTTCTTGCTACAAATGGCCTCGCTTTCATTAAAGTTTAATTGTGCCTCTCACTTGAGCAGGTGAGGGTCAAAATGATTGGAAAGTGCCATAGGCAAAGAGCAGCTTTCCTTGGAGAAAGCTGACTCTGTCTACTATTAAAGGACATGCTATGGCTACTTCTTGTCTCAAGGGTGATAGAACCATCAGTAGAACCTATGTTTCCTAGCTGTAATCCAAAAAAATCTTATGTCAGTTGCAAGCATATTGCTAAGTTGATTAATACTGTTCTCAGAACAGGCTGTTTGCATATACTGGAGAAAGTGCCAGAGATGAGCTCTGATGAGAGTTTTGGGAGTTTAAAATAAAAGTATGAACACAACGCTTGAATCTCACTGGGTTTACAGAGTTAAAAGTTACAAAGATTACGTACTTGGCATGGCTTGCTTAAATCCAGCCAAGTGACTGGTACAAATGAAAACATTAAGAAGGTTAGGTGAGGTGAAATCAGCTTAGCTGACAGCTAGTGTGACTTTTTCCTCTTCCTTTGTACTACTGATAATTTTCACTCTTGAACTGCCTTTTATTTTAGGTATATTTTTGTAACCATACAGAGTTGTCACTTGAGATACACTTAAGCACCATGTGAATTCTAGACTCTCTTGGGTCCTGTGAAACTTCAGCAAATGAGAGCAAGACCATAGGTTGTGAATTGTGCATTCTTTCTCAGATTGATTTGAAATGCAGATTCTCACAAAAGATACTGTGCAGAATGGTGAATAACAGTAGGTTAGCTCTTCTCTCTTGGGGAGGATGTGTCACTTTTGTGGGTTTTTTTGTTTTTTAAACTAAGAAATAACTTAAACAGGGCTTTCAGTAAAAATAAATAAATAAAAAGTTAAATGGTAAAAATCAATCAACTGTCCAACAATCTAACATCCTTAATAAGACAAGATAAAGACTCAAAATGGGGATAGGGTGGTAGAGTAGGTGAAATGTACTCAGTCAAGTTTTTGGTAATTCTGAATAACCATGGTTTAAGTTCAGGGAGTGCACAGCTGTGAATTCTGGTCAGACTGAGAGGCTGTTTTTTGACTGCACATCCGTAAAGGATTCTTTCTGGTGCCAGAGCAGTTAATGCTTAGACGCAGTGCTTGGATGTGACCAACCTGAGAAGAGACTGAGAATGCAAAATTAGTTCAGGCTATTTTCAGCTTCTGAGTAGCACTCCAAAGTCAACAAAACGAAATTGAATAGGCTAGATATGCAACCCTTAAGAAGGAAGAAGCAAATAAACAGAATTTAAAAAGCAATCAGCTGGTGATATGTTCGTACAGCAACAAGTA